GACGCCGCTCATCTGACATGCCGTTCCTGCGACTGTTGTGTCCCACTGCATCACGAATCCTTGCATTTTGACTATCCTCCTCGGTTCTTGTGGCTCTGTGGTTGGCCTGCGCATCTCGATCATACGCCTGATGAGCTGCCAGGTCTTCTGGAGTCATTCGATCGCGTCGTACCCTCGCTAGCTCGGCATCTCGTCCACCTGATCTTGTCGGTCCTCTTGCTGCTGCTTCTCCTTCAAGTATGCGTCTTTCTCTGCCGCCAGATCCCGCTCAATCGCCTCGAACTCTGCCATCTCATTGGCTTCACGTTGCTGCTTTGCCTCGTACGATTGCCGCACAGTTCTCAAGCCCATGTCAGTACTCGTTGTAGAGCGGAATGATGCGTTCTTCCACGATGCAAAATCTTCATTCTGCTGCCTCCTCTGCAGCTTTTCGTCTACGTCATTATCAACTTGATTACTGTATTGTTTCCGTCGAATCGGCGACACTGGTGGTGAAAGCGTCTGTGACGGTGTTGGGGCAGTCCGAATCTGCTGCGTCGGTGTCGCGACTGGAGACAACGTTTTCGATGACGAGGCGGACGAGGGCCTTCTCCTTCTCTGCTGTTGCGTTGGTTGCCTCTTCTGAGTCACTGAAGCTGTCCTACTGATAGTCTTTTCTTCTTCTCCCTTGGACACGAGCGTGTGTTTAACTACCTTCTGCTTAGCATCTGGTTGCCGCATCCACCAGCCACGGGCTCCTTTCTTGAGAAAAGGCTTCTTCGACACCTTAGAGCTTGTTGACACTGACGTTTTAGTGTTAATTCCTTCTGATTTACGCAGCTCTCGGGCTAGTAGTTCTTCGAACGGGACTGCCAACAGCAAAACAATAATCAGAACGGACGGTAACTTTTGAGAGGGGCTTTGCGCAACAGGCTAGAGGCTACAGCGATCAATCCAACACAAACCATTGCCACTGGGAGCGGCGACGTCTTGGCTGGAGGTTGCGCTGACACGACGATTGCCAACGTCGTGCTCCTTGCGCCACGCACGAATCTCCCGCCGACCAGGCGCCATCGCCGAGTGCTTCGTTTCAAGACGAATGCCTCAGTTGGATTATACAAAATGCAGATTTAGATAGTCGAGGAAAGCGTAATTACGCTCGTAAGAAGTCGCCATTTTGGCCAATAAGACAGTTTAAGAAGGCGTTTGGACGAATCAGAGCATGGGCACGGCTAGCCACCCATTTGACTGGGTCCAAAGCAAAAATCTAAAACCAGCTCAGTTCAGAAGTGCGGCCAAGGAACACAAGTCTTGTTCGTGTTGAGGGGTTTTGCGTGCTTTCAGACTGGGGAAAATGATGATTCCTTTATCTCGATAGTTTTCACGACGGTCATCTGAGTAGGCCATCGGCCCGCGTTGGTGAGAATCGAGAAACAAAAAAAGCTCTGATACTTCCAGTATTCACTTTATGCGATGCATTTGTAGCATGTATGACTATTTGTTGGCGATGATGAAACATCTTTTATATCTGTCAATCCACTGAGTGCGACGGTGAAGACACACAAACTATAGCTTTTTTAACTGCAAGCTGATAGCCAACCTCTTTAAAACTCACAACTTTAGTAGTACTAGTACTCTAGTAGTCCTTAATTGAACTACTACTACAACGTATCGCATGTGCTTTCTCGTCAGAACTAATACACCGTACTACTACAGTAGTACTACCTCTACTAGTAGTAGAATGAGCTAAATATTACTTCTAGTAGTAGTACTGTTATATTTGTAGAAAGAATTGTACTACTATTTTAGTAATTGTCCGTCGAAGTGCAAGTAGTACTATAAGATAGTCTTGCTAATAAAATCTGTAAGCAGTGCAAGTACTTCCTTATTACTGTAGTAAAAGCTAGATCGTTTTGCCTTTTGGACTACAATAAATAAAAAGACCTCATTCTACATGTACTTTACTATGAATCGACGATGGAGCTAAGTGAAACAGCAAAAGCCTCTGAAATGCACGAAACTAGCTCTCTGGATTTAATCCAGGGTTTCTCCAAGATGCTCGATCTAAGCTATACTACTGTAGTAAGACGAAGCGACATTTCATTTCTACGTAGTACTACAGTAGCACTACTCCCTGAAAATGTAGTACTTCTAAAACTACGCTGTGCAAATGCATTGAAGTTTTCTGCAACATTGTTAGTTACACGATGATCGATCACTTCTTCTGGTGGCTAACGAATCGAAGCGCCAGAAGCGAAACAACACGAAGGCAGGCGATCCAGAGCAAAATGATGCCGAAATTCTCCCAGATCTCACTGTGTCTTGCCGAAAATATGCTACAGTGATGTCACTTCCGAGATTTGGCGGTGTACCTGTCATTTGTTGGCAGCCCAGCTCGCTGCCATTGTTACCACTTGGGCAGTCCCCGAACACAATGGCAACCAAACTAGCGTACGTGTATTTGTGAGGGGTCAAATGGTACAACCATCGGTAGCCTTGGGGGATAGAAGCAGTCGGTGGGTTGAAGCCTGTGAACGTGATCCAGATGTAGTTGATCATGATAACCAAAATGGAGGCGACTTCCAATTTGGGGCACAAATATGCTAGCAAAGTAAGCTTGCAAAATCGCGAGACCAGAAAGATTTATCAAGTATGAGAAGAACTGTGTCCAACCTGAAAACCCCACCATGGGGTAATAGATGGCGACAAACAGCAACGTCTCCACAAAGCAGTACGGAATTTCGACAAGTGTGGCGCCAATGAAGTACCAGATAACATTGTACGTTTGTGCCGAACGCTCGCGGTAGAAGGACGCTCTTTCTTGAATCGAGACGGGCACGACACTGCTGAAGACGATAAAGGTCATGTAATTTTGTGTCATGAATACCATCCCCAATCCTGAGTTGATGTTCTGGTACGATGAATACTCAGAGCCAACGTAGGCGATGCCAAATACGATTCCCAGCATGATCGAAATGAAGAATCGGGTTAGATTATACGATGCCGTTCTCCAGTAGATATCGAAGAAACGCTTGATCAGGAATTTCGCTTGGGTCGAGTTGTTAGCTGCACGCTTCTTGTCAAACGCCAAGGCAGGTGTAGATGATGCAGGTCGGGTGAATCCTTCGCGATCCAGAGTAATCTCAAGTTGCCGAGCTTGGGTACTTATTGTAAAAAGCTTAACGAAATCCGTTGCGTTGCTGACATTTCCCACGCCAGCACCGATCACCTCCAATATCCACGTTGCTGGATTAGAATTTCTCTCCATCTTCATCACTCCATCGATGGATTAAAAGTACTCGATCAGAAGCGATGACTTCTCTCCCAAATCACCGAAAAATACTGTTTCACCTCCACGTTTTAGAAGCAATAAGCTGTCGAACACACTGAACACTGCGGCAGACGGCTGATGAATTGTACACACTATGGTGCGACCGGTATTTGCAACCTTTCACACACCATCCATTATGTGCTTGGCGGAACGTGCGTCCAGTCCGCTAGTCGGCTCGTCCAAAAACAACACGCTAGGTTGCGCTGCCAACTCCACGCCAATCGTAAGTCGCTTCATCTGCTCTGTCGAGCTTCCACGGATTACTCGGTCTGCGATCGAGGACAAGTCCAAAAGTTCAAGACACTCGTTCACGCAGTCGTATTTTTCACTGTCGGGAACAGCGGCATCCTGACGCAGAAATGCACTAAACGTCAAAGCCTCCCGGAATGTAGACGCTTCTGAATGAATATCCATCTGCTCGCAGTAACCTGTGGCTCGACGGACAGCAATCTCGGTGGCTGGGTAGCCATTCAATAGGATAGACCCTGTGATTTGCCGGCAGTCTTACGTCCAGCGATGACGTCCATGAGCGTGGTTTTACCTGCACCCGAGGACCCCATAAGCGCCGTGATGGTGCCTGGAAGCGCGTATCCACTGATGCCTTTCAGCAGGTCGATACTGGCTTTGGACTCAGAAGGGCTGGGAACGGAATACCACAGGTCCTTGAAAGCGAGCGTTACTGGACACACAGCTTTTCCCCTTTTGCGTGACCGGGATAGTCATCGACTGGTCTTCACTGACTTTCGGCGTAACTATGCCAGAGTAGTTGTCGCTGGATGACGAAGTATTGTTGCTATCCATCCTACCCATCTGGCCGAAAGACACAATCTTTGGGGTCTCATAGCGCCAATACTCCAGCACTAGGCAGGACAGCGCCATGAAAAAGAAGTACGTCGCGATAAGAAAAATCATGCCGCACCACAACCAGTACCTTTCGGCAGGTACGCCATACAGACTAAGCATGTATTCACCCATCTGCAATCCATAACGGGCGCAATAGTCCACTCCATCGTACACACACGTGTTGAAACGTGCCTCTTGATACTGATTCACAGCGACGGCATGGATTCCCCATCCATGAGGGCTAATCCAGTAGACCCAGGACAAATACGCAGGTGTCGAGCCCTTGGTGATCAGAGGGGGGAGCTTACTCGCGAGTACAAAAAGGATGATCTCCGAGTACACACACAAAAAGGATGACTTGCGAGTACAATTTGGGAAAAAGGTGGATTGGCGAGTATGGCATCATAAAAGGTGGATCACCGAGTACATTCGCAAGAACCGACAAGTTTGGTCAGTGTCACCGGAGACTATGAGATGACTCGCATACCTAGTGCGTGACTGTAGGCGACAGCAGCTGCGAGCTATTCCACGTCCATAAGCTCCACTTTTCCGGTTGAGAACTTGACCTTCCACTGATAGCGACCGCCATTTTCGAGCCAACGGTCGACATGTCCAGGCACATGCTCACGTAGCACTTGCCCCCTGTTCTTCACACTAAACTCCTTGGTCACGTGCCAGTGTGTTGGCGCGGCGGGGCTTTTCATGAAAAGCTGCTCCAGGTGCGAGACACCGAAGAACCGCGCGTCGCTTTTGTTGAACCGCGTGCGGGCAAGCGCGCCGCGGGATTTGAACTGACCTCCCGGGCGTCGTCGAACTGGCAGCACACTCAACAACGCGTCGATGCTGATCTTCTCGAGGAGCGCCATCGTCGCGACAATGTGCTCGCACATCCATCCTGACTGGCGTGACTCAGAGCAATCGCACACATAGCACTGACGCACCATTCGGATCTAGAGTAAGAACAGTCAGAACCGTCGCTGCCATGTGGGATTGAGATGAGATCAAGTACGTACATCGTCTGCACTCCATTTTGGAGACACCTTGAACGGGTCATGCCCGCTGTTGAGTACTTGAACGCGGTAGAGTGACTGGTAGAGCAGTTGGGCCTCCGAAGCGCGTCCTCGTGGGATTGATGCACTGACAGTCGGGTAAAGCTGGGCTCGTCGGCTGGAGGCGGGGAATACGCGCCATCGTCGATGACTGCGAACGCCTCCGACATGGCGACTTTGAGAGTACAACTGAACTCCAAGGCAGCAACAGGAAACCCACTACTCGCCCCAACAAGCCTCTACCAGCCACCGGCAGCCTCTACCAGCCACCGGCAGCCTCTACCAGCCACCGGTAGCCACAGCCAACCATCGCTAGCCACAGCCAGCCACCAGGAGTCACGGGCAGCCATTGGTTGCGACAGGCATCAACTGGGGTGCACCACATATCCGTAAATAGCGTTTCCTAGTGAGCCATAAATAGTGTTCTCCGTGTAATCGATACCTCGCTTTTCGAGCCATGGACTCGCCAATCCACCCTTTTTCCCATAAACCATCCTTTTTGAGCATGTACTCGAAGATCATCCTTTTTGTACTCCGATCTAATCCGCACCCGTGATCAGAAATCCGGAAAACGTGACCAGAAATAGGAGCGCCAGCATTGCTATCGGGTTGGCGACGTTGATATTTGGGCACGCCGATGCGATGAAGAAGAACAAAGCAATGTAGGCCATATTCACGACGAACAGCAGGAGTAGGTAGATGAGATAGCTTTGCATGCTCGCAACAAAGCCGCACATCCAGTATGTCAGGGTCCGAATAGCAGAATCTCCACCACAACAAGGGGGCTCTCCTTCACAGAGCTTGCGATCCCAAAAGACGAGGTACGGTAGAAATTAGCACCGCGCTGTTTGTAGACCACATTCCGAGTAGCCAGGATCGAAGGAATCGGCGCAATTTTTGCCACAGATAGCGTATCCACTGTTGTAAACGCTAGACCCATGAACACTTGAGCATTGGTTGTTTCAAATTGGTAGAATGCCGTGCCGTACAGTAATGCAATGACCAACGCCATGAACACTTGGATTTTCACGGCAGCTAAGTCATGAGCAAGAATCTTGAATTCACGGGCAAGAACAGTTGCAGTTCCTGCAAGAAAGTCCTGTCTGAACTCGGGTGTGTGCGCAACTGAGTTAATAGGCTCAGTACTGCATTCCCATGGATTGCGTAGGTTGTTCATCATACGAAATCGAACCTCCGACTTTTCAAAGACATCAGCAAATTGCGGCGCAAATCTTGGTGCAGGGCCGCTTTCATATTGGCGCTGTTTGTTTGTACCGAGATCCAGCAAGAAGTCGGCCATATCGCGACTCGCAGGACACTTTAGCCCCAAGTCTTCGAAATACCCCCCTAATTCGGCACGGGGCCCATAATACATCACGTAGCCACCGTTTAGCAGCATAACGTCGTCGAACAGCTCAAAACCCTCAGGAGATGGCTGCAGGAGCGAAATCACCATTGTCTTGCCAAGTGTTTTAGCCAACCTGCGTTGGTTCGAGATGATGTCAAAAGTTGCGGAGCTGTCCGAACCTGTGCTAATCTCATCCATAAAATACACGAGCTTGTTGCCGAACGTCATCTCGCCCGTTGTCACGCGTTTGCGCTCGCCACCAGACACACCCCGTAACATGGCATCACCTACCAAGGTATCTTGGCAATTCTCAAGACCGAGTTGACGGATGACGATGTCTGGGCGATTTTTGAATACGGCGTTTGCAGCATCCAGAGCATGTTGGTCCCCACCATGATCACCACGGCCAAGCTGCTGCTCATCAATAATTGGCACTGTTCCTTCGCTACACTCATGTGCGACCCGAGCGTCTCCTTTACTGTTAAAGTAGGCAGATGGGTATCCTCCTGGGGCACGTAAGCCACGAGTTGCGGCAAACGTTTGAGTACGGTGTCACGAGCCACTCCGTTGAATGTCACATCACCTTCCACCATGACATTCCTATCAGCTGACAGTCTCCCGCTCAGCAACTTCATTAGCGATGACTTTCCTGAGCCGGGTTGACCGAGGATCAACGTCATGGTGCCAGGCTTAAACACCCCGCTGGCATTGCGAAGTATACTTTTCTTCACCACGTGGCTTTTGGCACCCAGCTGCCGTGCACCTTTCAGGATCACGTTGGAAAGAGTAGGTAGCTCTGTCTGGGGCTGCGTCTCGTCCTTCACGATAACGTCCGCCGACATGGATACGTTTTCGAAGCGAACTTCCAGTGGTTGGCCTAGCTCACTTTTCATCAAATTTTGCGAAGTCACATGCTCGTACAATTCTGGTGCACCCTCATCGTCGTTAGCAGTCTGCCGTTGCGGCTCTGAGTTTCTGGAAGCCGAAGCAGTCATATTTGGCTTAATGCTTTCCAAGTACGTTGAATGGAGCAAAATGCAATTTGACCTGCGTGGGCGTGCATCTTTTCCCCTCCTGTTTTTTTCTTAACTCCACCATCATCAATTTTACAGCAACTGTCCATCATAATCGTCACTCACACAAAATGACTTTCAGTTTTGACAAACGATGACTAGAACTTCTTTACTTATCCATTCTATTTTTCCATATTATGGATACCAAATGCTTAAAAAAATATTTTATATTGAAAAAAAAACTATCCCACTTTGCACAGTAAGCGAACGGTGATCCAGCTACTGTAACATTCGGTAAGCCACAAGCTCACATTCAATAAGCTCGTGTACTTTTAACCTGCCGCACCCAGACTAAGCATTAGTGCAGCAGAGCAAGGAAGCCACATAGTGTGTGGAAATGTGTCGCTTCTTCTTTACGCAGGGACTGAGTCGGAGCTGCGTTCTGCTTGGGACTGGTCCTTCACAATCGACTCTTTGACATTAATCAGCTCGAAAGTCGCTACGTTACCATGTAGATTCTCTATTAGATTGGCTCTGTTGCTAAAAATTGAATTCTAGGGCTTGTTTTAAAGAGACTGTCAATAATACGTGGTGGCTTCAGAATCTGTTACGTGCACTGTACGTGAGCTGTTGATGTAAAACGTATCAACTGCATAATCATCGCAATGCTGAGTGTTGATCTGTGTTAGGGGGAAACTGCACTATTATAGTGCGTCAAATCGTCAAACTGAATGAAAGCAGCATGACCCTATTTGTAATTTCCCTCAAACTTTGATATTGATTAAGCACTTTCTTCGTTCTCGGGCCAGCTGTCGTAAGCTGTTGTTACATGTACTACTAATGCCGTGCGTTGCCCGGGAAGCTCTGGATATACGCAGAGTGCGACTAATAACAGTACAGTACAACATGATTTCTTAACAACAAGTTGTGGGATTATGTAAAGTGGCTCACATCCCAATAATGATGTGGTGCACACATCTCGTCGGCTCTTTTTCTCCACGCATCTCGGCATCTCATCACGCTGTTCGTACTGTACAGGCCGGACTCATGATCTCGAGCTACGTTTGGCTGTGTACCTCGTGATCCCTGGCTATCTGCTGTATCACGGCGGTCGCATTAACTTAACGGGCCTCAAGCTGGGATACCGCCATATCGACACCGCCGAAATCTACGGAAACGAGGAGGATAAGGGTCGTGCAGTACGTGACTCGGGTGTCCCGCGAGAGGAGATCTTCGTAACCTCGAGACTGAGGTGTTTCAGTTCAATGAGGTCGAAGGAGAAGATCAGAATGAGACTGTGAGACACAAGAAGACGATGAGAAAGCATAAACGGAATAATTGCATTTATCATAGTTCCATCGCCTCCAGCCGCGAGTTCTCTTGCAAAACATCCTTAGGAGGTTTAAAATACTCGAGGAACTGTTTCGTAAGTGATGACATCAGATATAACTGGTTCAAAGATTTGACCCGTGTGACGGCTACGTAGAACGACGATCGTTGTGGTGTCCGTCGTGTAGTGTGCTTTAAAGGCGCCAGGATCATTTTGTCGACAGTAAGCCCTTGGCACTTCTCAGCTGTCAATGAGTATGCTGCAACTAACGGAACTTGGTCAATTGTGATTGAAAACTCTCGACCGGGCAACTTGACCTTAATTCCTTTTTCGATCCTTCGACAAACAGGAACGACACCTGTTGGGAGTCCTGGAAGGAACGTGTGGTTGGAATAATCTTTAAGTTTCACAAAAACAATGTCTGGAGGCAGCTTGTGCTGGTGTTCTTCGATTGTATCCGAAGTGTGAATATGAACTTCATCATTTTGCGCCATAGTAAATCCAACGACAGTACCAATAGACCCGTTTGCGAGTTTCAAAAATGGTGACACATTCTTGGTGCATTGGACGATTGAACCAATTGCGATCTCAAGCACAATCGGCATGCCTCCAGTTTTGTCATCACGGATGGACTCGAGCGATTTTCGTTGCGGACTGGTCAAACGATGTCTTGGTCTAGACACAGCCCCAGGAAATCGATGTAAAACCACACCAGCTTTCTTGCCGAATATTCGCAGCGACGACATGTTGAACTCAGCACGGAGGGCGTTGGATGTGACAATAATTGGGCAGTAGGACTTCGTACCTATGTTGAGTGATGTCCAATTTTCGTCATGGGCAGTTTTATTCACGTGGTCAATGTCAGCATCTTCGTAATTTCCAACTCTCCACTTGTCGAGAATATCTCTCCATACCGGATCACGCCTATGACGCATATTTTCGGTAAGAATGACCACCGAGTTAAGTGAGCGGTACGCATTTATCCCCCTCACACGATCCAAGTAGTCTGTTGAGTGTCTTCGGCGCAACTGGATCACTTCATCGGCAGTGATAAATGCCGGTTGCCCTGCAACGGGCAGCTGCTGAAGCCAATCGCCAACTAGAAGTACATGAATTCCACCAAACAATTTTGTCGGGCTACCAAGTATCTCGCGGAGGGACGAATCCATTTTGCCAAGAATACTGACATCACACGTAGATATCTCATCCACGATTAGTAACTTCAATTTTGCAAACCGTTCCCGTTGCTCTTGAGTCGGGAACCATCGTCGTTTGGTATTCACGTACCATCCAAATAATTTGTGCATGGTCTGCCCGTTTGCGGCTTGAGCAGCGACTCCTTGGTACGCACATGTTGCTATCGACTCCTCCGATTTCCACTTCTGGGCAAGAACCTGCAATGCGCCAATAACCCTGCTTTTCCCTGCACCTGGCTTTCCTCCAAGAAATGCTACAATTTGTTCGTTGACGTCATGACCCAGTAAAAGCGATTTCAACAGTTTCTTTCCCACATTAGCAAACATTTTGTGCTGTTTTTCGTTCAGTTGAGTTGCCAGAGATACCTAGTCCAGTGAAGGCATATCTGGTGTGTCATGAGTGCGGTATTCATCGTTTAAGACCGGCACCGCTGACTCATAACGTTGCTCCATTACCTCATCGTTCCCAATTGATTGTTGAAGGAGACGTACTCTAGTCGGAAAATCTGAGTATTTAGCTCACAACGTCGAAGCACAGGTTCCCGAACGCAGATGTGATTCTGGTGCAACTAAGCAGTGTAGCTTTTGTTCAACATGTTCGAGAGACATTGATATGTTTGTGACCATCGTGTCTGCTAGAGTGGAAGCTGCAGCAAGGTCCACGCAATCTGTAGATTTTTCGAGGTCCTTGATATACTTTGTAGGTTGTGTTGGGGCCCATACTATCTCGTCCATATCCTCGGGTTCACTTTCGTCTGAACCGCCGTCATCTTCATCGGCATCCTGCATGTCAAAGCCGGTAGAATCGATTTCACGATCATCATCTAGGCCCGCTTCATAACGAAGGTATCTAGCAGCTTCAGGGTCATCGTGTGATTGAAGCAATTCTCGAGAGCCATAGTAGTCGGTATTATTTTTTACGAACGTTCGAGCACTTGGTGGAGCTTCCGTTGCCCACCATTGCTCAAAAAATGCACCAAACGTTTCACCATTTGTATCAAAGTCAGTGCCACAACGAAAAGGACGAAATAGTGCCATCACAGACTGTTGGTAGCGAAGCAATTCATCCTTTGGGAGGTTAGATCTGCGAACATCTGGAAGCCGTTTGTGTCTGATTGCTACAACGCGTTCGGATGTGGACCCAACTATCGTATGTGTACCAAAATGAGGATGCTCTTTCAAAAAAGGCACTCCACGTTTGCTCTTTTTCCTGCACCAATTTTCAGCAAAGGTCATGAGGTCCACAGATTCTAGTGTTGCTGGCCGAAATATATAGTCCAGCCAAAATGCTTGATGGCTTAAAATTGAGCTGATTGGTGTCACCTTCGAGGACAATGTCAAGCTGCTCATCTTGCTGGAACAGTGCCTTCAATACTGTTGGGAGCGGTAATTTTACGAACTCATGTGACGAATACATAACAGTGCCTTTGATGACGTACAGGCACGCCATCGGTGCGGAGACCTTATGCGGAATTGACAGCGTGCAACACATGTTTTGGATGCGGCGACGTCCCGCGGCAGCTTGAGTATCCGTTTCGTTCGAAAGTACGCGATTTGCCTTATCAAATGCGTGCAAATGAAGCGCCCATGGATTTTCGAGGTCCTGTTGGTGTTTGGTCGTATACTTGATAGTATAATATGCTTTTTCGGGACCTGTGTACATGGGATCGATGTATTAGAAACGGTTAACAGGTGAGTAAAAGGGAACATTGACATCCTACCTTCACCGGCGGCTAGAAATTTTATGTCATGATTGCACTTAAACAACGCGTTGACAATCGGTACGTATGTGTTAATGTACTCGTTGCCTGGATGGCGTTTCAGCTCGATTATATTATTTGATGTCCACCGTGTCATTTTACAAGTTTCTTTCGGCATAAACATCCGACAAACCTTTCCGTCGGGGGTCCGTTTAGTAACCTTGAAGCATGAATTTGAATGGAACCAATGGTGATGTTGGTAAGCCAACAACGCACGAGAACAAAATACAGCCTCATTTGACGCCAAATCCGAAGCAGGGGATAACGGTCGCGGGCTAGCAATTATGCTAAATGTTTTCATATCGTCACAGTCGAGCGCATTGTTTTTTTGTAATATTCGATTGGATGTCTTCATGATCAATTGATCAGCCCCATATTTTTCTCCACAGTGATCGCAATAACATGTTGCTCGTTTGGTTGCGCCAGATCGAGGTTTCCTGAATGCCAGTTGCTGGAGTGAGTGGTTTAATCTCGCCAATTCTACAGGAAGGACAGAGAGACATATCAAGTGGCACGTTTGCAGTCGAAATCGCTTCGACGTATTGAATCTGTGTAGACCGGAATCTCTCGGAGGAGCACATCGTATAGTACTCGTAAACTGTGGACGGCATATTTTCAATCCAAATGAGCATGTGAGAGTGAAGCGATCCCGCTGAATTTTGTGATTCTGTTGCAGCATAAAATGATTTTGTGCGA